CATGAAGACCAAGACTGACAAACAGAGCCAACAGCAGCTTCCAGAGTGTGTATGTTGCAACAAACGAAACATATTGTTTGGATTTTGTCCTCAATGTAAAGGAATGATTTGTAATGAATGCATCAACCAACACAAAACAGTATTTGCATTGATAAAAACCCATCAAGCAACGCTATGGAGCGAATTCAAGACAAAAAATGTCAACAGCTACATCAACAACCAAGCCATGTGCAAGGTGAAATACCACAAGAATGCTCTCATTGAATTCTACTGCAAGACTTGCAAGAAGTGTATTTGTCAAAAATGTGGTACAACATCACACAGCATCCATGACAAGGTCAGCATCGAGGAGGCAGCTGAAGATGCTAAAAAGCTCATAGGAAAAGAAAAGAAGCAACTAAATGAGCTGCTTATCGGTTACAATAAAGAATTAGAACTGTCCCAAAATAATATGACAAGGATTCAAAAAGAGATTGACACAGCAAAGGCAAAAGTTCGAGATGACACACAAGCTATGATGAAGATTCTACAAGACAGTCAAAACGCTTTGATTGCTTCCTTGGACGACCTCCTTGCAGAACAAACAACAGCAAATGAAGACGAGAAAGAGGAGATCAACGCCAACATCCAACAAGTCACTGAACTGAAACATCAATGTAAAACAATGAAAGGGAACAGCTTAGAACAACTTATATTGGAAAGCTATGAAAATTTACAAGAAATTTGTAGAGTCATAGTGCAAGACAGAAGGTCCATCATATCGACCAAACCAGTCAAACGAAACTCAAGCATTCGTTTCATTCCAAACCCGGAAGTCATCGTCTTCATGCGAAGATTCAAATTGGGCGAGGTAGTGGAAAACGTGACAGATTCGCACCGTCCTTCTAGGGTTGGTATAAGTGAGATCACAAGGCGATATCTGCAACGAAAAAACTGAAACTGGAAGATTCGTGAATTAAAAAGCAGAGAAACCTTCACAGAACAAAGTTATAGTGAGCAGAAGAGATCAAAAACTCACCACAGACGTTGAGACAATCGATGCTAAAGCAGAATTTAAACTCTTGAGGATAATAGATGTCAAAGAGGAGATGTTCATTCCTATTGCACTTGGTGTAATAAGTGACAGTGGCGACATTGCTGTGGTTAAAGGAATTCCGTGTTGTGTGTTTCAAGGCTGATTAAGACAAAGGATACTTTCTTGGACAGAGCTCTTCTTTTGTTTATCGCTCCCGTCATTCAACACGGCGGTAGTTATATGACCATATCGAGGTCTCTGGGAATATTTGACTTTGTTTCGACTAACAAAACGATATACACCTACTTGCAGAAACGTTGTCATAGAAAATAGAACATTCGTATTTAGTTAAAAGGAATAAATTAAAACAAGACAAAAGAAAGCGTTCAGCCTCAGTGATCTTCTTTTGTCTTTTTAATGTATTCCTTTTTTACTAAATACAAAAGTCCTATTTTTATGACAACGTTTTCGCAAGTAGGTGTAGAACAATATATAGGATACAAAGGAATAGTCATAGGCTACTATAGCAGGGCGATAAAACACTCTTCAAGTTTCTCAATAGATCTTTAAAGCATTTACGTCATGTGACGCATACGCAATGCACTGTGGGATATGTTTAGGACACAACATGGTAGCAACATGGTGATCCTTTTCCCCAGAAACCGATCCCACAATGCATTGCNCTAATGCAACAAAAATCCGTAGATAGAGGAATTTGTTGAATCTTCTTATTTTTCATCTTTTCACATGTCACATGTCTGGGACAGGCAAAATTGATGACGAAGGGGGGATATGATCACCGGCCTTTTTGCGACCAGACAACGTTTTTACAGGTGTATCTAGCAATACTAGACATTTGTATAGGACATTCTAATGATTTATATTATATTCAACACCAAAATTAGCATTATGTAGATAAATAATTAACTATTAATAGTTCACTAATAATTTAGTTGTTAATTAAGTAGTAGTTAATAATCATCAGTATTTAGCGTATTTCACGGTTTTAGAGTGCAAACAATAAAAGCTTTAAAAAGGCGTAATAACCAAATATTCTGTATACTGTTTACTGTATATATATATATCTATTGATACTAGATCGAGGTTATTAAACCCGTGAAACACAATTTGACCAGTGTGATAGTATGTTGTCCACTCTACCTATAGGCTTAGGATGTTGTGTTTATTAAACCCGTGAAACACAATTTGACCAGTAAAGTGTGATAGTATGTTCTTCACTCTATCTATAGGCTTAGGATGTTGTGTTTATTAAACCCGTGAAACACWATTTGACCAGTAAAGTGTGATAGTATGYTYTTCACTCTATCTATAGGCTTARGATGTTGTGTTTATTAAACCCGTGAAACACTATTTGACCAGTAAAGTGTGATAGTATGCTTTTCACTCTATCTATAGGCTTAAGATGTTGTGTTTATTAAGCAGCGTCTCCAGTGCATTCTCGATGTTTTGCTCGTTCTCTTTCAACCATTGAATTCGTTCTTGTATGTTAAGTATTGATTGCTTGAATTTTATTCCAGTTTTTTCCTGGAATCTCTGAACCTTTAAAATAAATAAAAACAAATCAGTCAATCAATGAGCTAAATTGATTCTACGTCATGTTCCGTATACACACTGCATTGTGGGATATGTTTGGGACAACATAGTAGAAGTGTCTTTCCTTCTCCCMAGAAACTGACCCCATAATGCACTGCAAACCACGTTGACATACAAGAAGTCTATTTCATAAGGTATAGTATGTTTAAAGTGAATATATGTGACATTAACCTCTTTTAATCTGTATTCTGTGCTGAATTTCCTAGTGGCGAGATATAAAAGCATGGAGAAGTCTTCGTGTCTGAAGAGTAATACAAAAGAAATGTTTTGTATTGTGGTTACGCGTGATTTTAGTATTGCATAGCTAAACATTACACGGTTTTTTACGCACAAAATGAGTCGCATTTTCAGAGTACATTGGCGAGACTCATTCCAGTCATTATGAATTAAAATCACACTGTTCTCAAACCTCGGAGGGATTACTCATATACTAGGGAAAGAGGAAAGCCAGTCACTTTTAGTCAATTTTCCAAAATCTTATTGAGCATGAAGTGTTATCATAGCCATATGCACTTAGTATGCATCGCCTCATGAATAATCAGGTTAAGATTGGTTATAAGAATGAAAACTGGTTCAATGCGCGGAGTTATCAAGAAGATCAAAGTTTTTGCCAATTAAAAATGGCATCAGGCTTTACTTTAATAGATAGCTTACTTGATCAATGTGTCCCTGTTTGAACGTATAAATCCCCACGCRATTTGGCTTCCAATAGGATTAGATCCCGTGATTTTATCAAGAGCGGTGCTTTTAGCTCGGTAGTTAAATCTCCAAGGATCCAATAAATATGACAAATACCTAATAGA